GAAGGGGAAGGGGGAGGAGGAGGAGAAAGGGGAGGAGGAGGAAGGGGAAGAGGAGGAAGGAGAGGAGGGGAAGGGGAAGAGGAGGAAAGAGAGGAGGAGGAAAGGGAGGAGGAGGAAGGGGAGGAGGAGGAAGGGGAGGAGGAGGAAGGGGAGGAGGAGGAAGGGGAGGAGGAGGAAAGGGAGGGGGAGGAAAGAGAGGAAGAGGAAGGGGGGCAGGAGGAAGGGGAGTAAGAAGGGAAAGAGGAGAAGGGGAGAAAGGGGGGAGGAGGAGGAGGAGGAGGAGGAGGAAGGGGAGGAGGAAGAGGAGGAAGGGGAGGAGGAAGAGGAGGAAGGGGAGGAGGAAGAGGAGTAAGGGGAGGAGGAGGATGAATGGGAGGGAGAGAAGAAAGGAGGTGGAGATGGAAGGGGAGGAGGAGGAGGAGGAAGAGGAAGGGGAGAGGGGGGGGAGGGGGACAGAGGAGGAATGGGAGGAGGAGGAGGAGGAGGGGGAGGAGGAGGAGGAGGGGACAGAGGAGGAATGGGAGGAGGAGGAGGAGGAGGAGGAGGAGGAGGAGGGGGAGGAGGAGGAAGGAGAGGAGGAGGAGGAGGAGGAGGAGGAGGAGGAAGGAGAGGAGGAGGAGGAGGAGGAGGTGGAGGAGGAGGAAGGAGAGGAGGAGGAGGAGGAGGAGGAGGAGGAAGGAGAGGAGAAGGAGGAGGAGGAAGGTGAGGGGGGGGAGGAGGAGGAGGAGGAAAGGGAGGAGGAGGAGGAGGAGGAAAGGGAGGAGGAGGAGGAGGAAAGAAAGGGGGAGGAGGAGGAGGAGGAAAGAAAGGGGGAGGAGGTGGAGGAAGGGAAGGGGGACGAGGAGGATTAGGAAGGGAAGGGGGGGAGGGGGGGAGGAGGACAAAGAGGAGGGGGAGGAAGGGCAGGAAGGGGAAGACGAGGAGGAAGTGGTAGAGGAGAAGGAGGAGGGACACAAGGAGGAAGGAAAAGAGGAGAGGAGGAGGAGGAGGAGGAGGAGGAGGAGGAGGAGGAGGAAGAGGAGGAGGAAGAGGAGGAGGAAGAGGAGGAGGAGGAGGAGGAGGAAGGGGAGGAGGAGGAAGGGGAGGAGGAGGAAGAGGAGGAGAAGAAAAGGAGGAGGAGGAGGAGAAAAGGAGGGGGAGGAGAAAGAGCAGAAAGAGTAAGAGGAACTAGTAGTACTAAGAGAAGAGGAAAAAAAAGTAGAGGAAAAAGAGGAAACAGCAGGTAAAAGAGGAGGAAGAGGAGGAAGAGGAGGAAGAGGAGGAGAGAAGAAGAGAAGAAAGAGAAGGGAGAGGAGAAACAAAAACGTATCAAGATAGTTCATTCATTTTGTTCAGCATACATATTTACTTCATGTGGTGACAGCAGCGCTGCATCAAACTTTCTTTTTAATGAAGACAACGCATATTCAAATATTGATCATGGCCTTCCTAAAAAGAACTCATGATACAAGTGGACATGTTATATAGACCAGCTGAGTGATATCTAATCATAAAAGATTGCCTAATAACATCCTGTGGTGGTGAAAACTCGAACTGCATGGAGGCTCATTCTTGGGTATTTCCTGAAAGGATTTCCATGAAAAGGTTAATACATGACCAAAATCTATGAAAAAACTGAAAGGTCAACAACCAACCACGTCTGATGAGAAGACTAAAATGCTTTATTATGAGACTGGCATCCTCTTGAAAAGGTACCACTATTCTCTTGCCACGGGACAAAATACACTTGTTTCTTAGTTGCAAAACATGTAAAGCTGAAGTCCAAACCCTAGGTAAAGTACTACTACTCCCCTGAAGAAATGCTCAGAGCATATTCATGTTTATTACTATTATTGATTTTCCTTTCTGGCAACTGGGCTATGACATGTTCCCCAATAGACACCAAAGCACAATGAAAGAAGACCTTTTCTATTCTTGTAAGCAATATGCACTCAAGAGCAGACAACATGTTCCATAATATGTAAATGCATGTAGATCTGAACTTCACATCTGCTGTTTTCATGAAAGATATTCTAGACAGTCAAAAAAAATCCTGGAGCACATTAGAAACATTCATACATTTGCAATCTATTCTCCAAAGAAATGAAAATGACTTGATATTAATAATCTTCTAAACTACCCTTACATTCCCCCACCCCCCAAAACTTTAAAAGTGTAAAATCCATTAAAATAGAATACGGAGGTTCTAATTAATAATACACATGGTATTTTCTCTCTAAAATAATAAAAATATAATTGAATTAAAATTAACGTAATAAAAAAGGTTTTGTTTAATTCAAGAAAACAGAAGTGAGGACAAACAGCTTACAATGAGTAATCCTTTCTCAAAAGACAAGATAACTTCATACATAATTAAATACTTTTTATTTCTGTGCTAGCTGAAGGTAACTACATTTCAAAACCCAGAAATCTTAGCCAACTGCACATACCACACATACTTTAGCATGAATAGTAGTAGTATTTCCGTCAATTCACATTCTTGGTTTGAAAAATGCTAATATTATCATCTGCAAGAGACAACACCTTCAAAGCCTATAGAATCTGGGTATTCACTAATAAAAAAAGGAATTATGCTCCCTCCTGGCATCTAAAAAATCTCACTCATAATGATACAGAACTGGCACATATCTCTTTCTGCTCTTTATTAGAAGCAGTTCAGGAGTGATTGCTACTCTTCCTGACATCAATTTTCCTTCTCCCTAAGCTTACATGCCTATGACAGTGTCTATGCCAAAAATCACATACTTGAAGACTATGAAATTCTCTACATTACTGTTGTGGCTCTCAGCTGGGGATTCCACAAACACACACACACACAACTACAGGAAATAGCTGCTCTTGACTTACTCATTAAGATCAAAACAAAGTGACTACCACGAATCTGCACAGTTACAAAGGTCTTTAAATAAGATTCTTCTCCATATACATGTAGTGTGTACATTTTTCTTTCCGCCAAACAGAAGTATTGTATAAGGTTTCACGGTTTCTACAATCAATAAATTCCATATATCCAACTTTCCTGTACATTCAAGCCATTTCAAAATTGCATTGTTAATTGTTTTTTTCAACAAACAGATACCCACAAACACAATTAGAACAAAAAGCTAAGCAAAAACAAAATAAAAAATCCCTGATCTCCCCCCCACCCAAAAAAAAAAATTAACAGACTCCCCAAATGCAACCTACCCTTGACATATTCTCCTAGCAGAGCCTGTGACCTCAGCACTGCCTGTGACCTTGTATTCCACTCAACCCACACCAGCTCATGCAGCATGAGGCCTTATCCCAACACACTTGCCATATTCACATTTGTTATTTTCCTGTTTAATCACTCTCACTCTCAGCAAAAAACAAACACTTGCTGTCCACATGCACATATCAAAGTAATCCTGAATTCCATCGCGCAAAATGGCCGTCCCGTTCAACCCAACGTTTCGAAACTACCTCCTTCCCAAACGCCTCGCAATCAACACCATTCCAACCCATTCCCATTACCCAGCGCCAATTCTCAGCAAACCCACCCCATCCGAGCCTGTCGACAGCTCTGACACCAAAGATGGGCATGACAGACCTTAATTTAATAATGCTAAATCCAATGCTATGCGAGTCTGCAGTGGTGAGCCCCCTGTAATCAATGCAGATATAAATAAATTCAAATTAATACCTGCTTTCAATGCCCCCAAAATTATGGCCGTAATCACTCCCCAAGTTAATTTGCGCCCGGTAATTTGTTCTCCAAACTGGAAACCCGGCGTAAATCTCAGTACGAAGAAATCATAATCGCCCTCATCAAATGCACCAACTGAAACCACATACCAAAAGCATGCTCTTCCACCCCCCCCCCCATTCCCATCAACCTCACAGACACCATACAAATCAATCCCACAAGTGCTGATCTATTTCCCCCATCATTACAACCACCCTCCCAACCCCCCCCCCCCAAAAAAAAAAATAAAGGGATTCACAGACACACCAACACCAGCCCTTACATAAACCCAAAGTAACAATATGGTTCCCTCCCTCCCTCCCTTCCTCCCTCCCTTCCTCCCTCCCCTAATGGTAGCAAGAAGACAGGTTTGTAGCTCTTGTATTGATTAACAAGCTTGACAGCCAACTTGGATGCACCATTCTGCTTGGCACTTCTAAGGTGATCAGCTGAGAGGCCTTTCAAGTGGACAGGGAGGGAGAGCCTGCCATCAAATCAAAATGGGATAAAGAAGTGGTGAGGAAAGGAGGGAAACACAGAGGTAGGGACTTGGGGAGGGAGGGAGTGGAAGAAGGAAAGGGATGGAGGAGAGAGGAGGGGAAGGGAACAGAAGGGAAGGGAAGGGAAAGGAAGAGATGGATGGAATGGAGGAGAGAATGAGGGAAGGAGAGGGAAGGAGCAGAGGGCTGGAGAGGGAAGGGAAGGCAAAGCAAGGAGAGGAGAAAGAGAATGGGAGGGGAGGGAGGGAGATAGTGGGGGAAGGAGAAAAGAGAGGGAAAGAGAGGGAGAGGAATGATGGGGAGGGGGGAGGGGGAGGGGGAGGGGGAGAGTGAGAGAGAGAGAGAGAGAGAGAGAGAGAGAGAGAGAGAGAGAGAGAGAGAGAGAGAGAGAGAGAGAGAGAGAGAGAGAGAGAGAGAGAGAGAGAGAGAGAGAGGAAAATCACTCCAGTTGTGATGGGAAGGAGCAAAACAGGAGTGAAAAGAAGGCCTCTGGATGAACAGGAACAGAAGAAAGCAAAAGGGGGCAGAATGAAAGAGAAATGAACAGAAGAACAACTGAAATGACAAGCGAGAAAACCGGGAGACATGAAAACCACCAAAATAAACAAGAAACAGCCATCCAAATCGCGAGAAACAGACACGGGGGGAAACTTGGGGAGCCATTGGGGGAAAAAGGTCCAAACAACGGAGGACTCGCAGCCCCCGAGCCCCCGCCCCGCCCCCCCTTGAGGTCTTCCCGAGGGCACCAAGGCCTCCGAACCAACCGCCCCAAAGGGCCTCGAACAGCTACTCAC